TTCACACTTTTTATCCATCACTAAATTTGTGTTTAATTATATACAGCTCATCATTTGGTGTTTCAAGTTACGGTCATCACTAGTTATCGTAGATGTTTGTTTACACAAGTTGGTATAATTAACTCCAATCCTCGATTTATTGATAGCCTATCAAATATATCTTCTGATCTCCTCACTTTTGTCTTTTGATTTCACTTGGTGGGTACGATTCACATTAGAAAGTGTTACTGTTTAAAGCGCTGTCAAACTTCGAATACATCTTCAGACATTTTCAGTCGCATAACATCATAATGTTTACTGGATGAGGAAATTAGCTTTGAATATATTTCAAGTTTTTCATTATGATAGACTTCGATAGGGATTCCTCGTTACGTGTTGTTATCCATAAAAATCCCTTGTTAAGCATTTCAATCTGAAGCAGGACAATGAGGAGTATTCTTTCATTAACACAGTTCCCTGTGTTATCTTGAAGATAGCAAGGACAGAGGTTGGTGAAGAATAATATAATACGACAACTTAACGAAATAAAGTAAATTGCTATTGTTCTACAACAATCTTTGTTCTTGTTCTCTTTATTCTTTCAATATTTCTCCATTTGTTGACCGATTCAACTTCTGAACTAATGCTAATTTAACACTACTTTTTCCCTATTCAGATGATAATTATGATTTCTGGATTTGCATTACTAATTTCATTTGTAAAATGGTACGAATTAATTAGTTCTGTACCTGCGGCTATAGGGTTTACCATTTTAGCAATTGTTTTGGGTGAAAAGCTACAAGATTCAAAAAGAAAATGGAGGATACTATTGTTTACGATGTCTTGTGCATTTGTAGTAATTGGATTCATTCTCTTCTTCGTAGGGATGATATTGAGAATGGTAAGTTGATTTAATCATAGATTTTAACACGTTTCCATTTCTTAATTCATGATCGATGCTGACGATAAATATTGAGTGATTACCCTTTAAAAGTTAGCAATACACTTTATCGAAATAGTGTACATTCTATCCGCTTCATATTTTCAGCAATCACAATACCTCTGACCAGGTCTTTTGTAACATGTACAACGAAAGGTTGAACCGTTTCTATAAACGCAGGTTGAATAAAGTATGAAATTAATAAGCAGCATGATGTATTAAAACAAATAAAATTTGGAAGCTTGTTCAAATGTTCAAATGGCAGAAACGACTAGCTCGGATGTTCAAACAGACTAGAGCAGTACGAATTAGTGTTATAATTTGAGAAATTGATTCTCACTACTGTATATTCAGATTCCGTATATGTGTTAATCACAGCAATATCAGAACATAACATATTCAATCAACGTTTTTACGTTCGTGGAATCAACAACTTGAATTTTTCATGATACAGTCATTGAAGAAACTAATTCGTTATTTAGACAACTGTCAAGCATGAGAAAGAATGGATACATGATGTCGAAATTCTGGACAACAGATTGACTGAACTCTTCCATGAATTCAGTCAGTCAGCTACATATTATATAAAAATTGGCGGAGTTAATTAGCAGAGTAATACTGTTTTTTCACTGATATTGATATACATACATGGTGAATTGAAGTTAATCATTTTGTTACCTTTATTCCAGTATATTGTACTAGGTGTAGCCTGGATTTGTTGGTCCTGTGCAATGTTAATTGTAAGTTTTGAATAAATAATTAAATTTTAATACAAATAACTGTCCGTTCATTATTATGCATTGAAAAACATTGTACAGTAGATAATAAAACTTTGCACCATTAGTGTTTTCTCTCCACAGCATCCAACACAATTCATCACGAAACATTTTGAAGAAAACATTACGAGATGAAAGGCTGAACGACAGAGAGGGAGATATTGTGTAGTAAAGTATTTATGAATCAATTCGTCCCTTTGATTGAATGGTCCAGTTTATGTGATGCTCAATTCATACGAACGATTATTTGTCAATATTTGACAAATCACTTAGTCCCTTTGATAAATTTCCATAATGCAACGAGAAGATGAAGCCTATCAGAATTATGTGATATATTTGACCAATACATTTCGAACAACCTAATCACACATATACTTGTGAGGAATATTTATGTATGAAGATTTATTATTATTGTGTACATATAATGTAAAATTCACTTTCCACAAACGGATGGTGTAGCTATGGGTAGCCCTCTACGACCATTGCTGGCTGATGTGTTCATGAGATATGTTGAAAATTTAGTTGAAGACTAACTTCGAAAGATGGGTCTGTATAAACGATATGTTGATGATATAATAATCATAGGGTATAAAGGTGAAGACATAAACAGTTTGTTAAAAGAATTCAATAGAAGCCAAAAACACATTTCTCTTACACGTAAAGAAGAGAAGAATAACCACCTTCCCTTTCTAGACATCCTGATTAGTAAAAGAGATGACGGTTCCAGCCAACGTGCTATATATAGAAAGCCAACGTGGACAGGGCATAATCTTAACTTTCATAGTCACTGCCTTATTCATTACAAAAGCGGTTTAATAAAGAGCTTATTCAGTAGAATCAATCGTATTTGTACTAGTGATACTATCGAAGTAAAGACGAGGCTCTTGACTGATACGTTAATGAATAATGGTTATTTTTTGAAGTTCATAAACTGCTGGGGGGGTTGCAATACGACTAGACCTGTGACGCTTCTGGCACCCAAAAAGCGAGTTTATATTTCGTTACCATTCAGAGGCGACACAAATAGTTTCATGTTGGAACAGAGACTGAAATTAGCCATCAACCGGGCATTTCATGCAACTCAACTTGTCATTATCAAAAAGACAAGATTTTTGTTCCACCAAAAGCCCAAAAAACACGAAAGCGATTATGTCACATCTCATTGTGTCTATCAATTCACGTGTATGTGCGGAAACACTCACATAGGGAGGAGCAAGCGTGATTTGCGATTAAGGGTGGGTGAACACATACCAAAATGGTTGCAGGAACAAATGGATTCCAATGGTCAAATAAGGTCACAGGATAGACAGACTTCATCCTTCATCTCGAAACATTTGATTGAGACATCAAGTCAGCATTTGTAGTATTATACAAAAGCCTTCAAGGACGTATAATAAGGTTTATTGAAGCCTTGGCTACACGGAAATTGAAACGCCCATTATGTGTTCAAAAACAACTTGTCCTTACACTTAACGTATCCTGGTAATACTGATCTATTATCCACAGTAGCAATCACATTTGTTTTTGTGTACTTTAATATATTTTCGTTGTTCTTTGTTATGGCTAATCTGTCTAGATGACCTTTTAATTGTCATATAAAAGATGTAACAAGTATAGGTGTGATCAAATTGTTCGAAATGTATTGCGCAAATACATGGCATTTATCGTTCATTTATTATGTATGAATGTTGAGAAATTGATAAGTTGATGATCCTATTATCTGTAAAGATCAATTATTTCACTGATACATATATTGATATGAATGCATCGATGATGGAGAAGTCATCTACATTTTCATTATTACAGGTGATTATATTCACAACATACCATCTAGACATACACCGTGAACAAGAACAGCTTTCTGAAATCTTCATTATGTTCGTATTGTTTTATGAATATTTCGTGCTCAACTACACATTACAGTTCTCCTTAAATTCTTTCTTTGATTGTAAGCAAAGCGGTAATAAAAATCTGACACGAATAATAGATCCTGTTCCCTTGAATGTTTTAATTAGTTTACAGATATTCATATGAAATATTTTAAAGATCATTGTAAACTATTCTGCTATCTATATTAGATGTTCTGTTGAATAGATGTTTGCTTATTGGATTAAGTTTCTGCATAGAAAACATTCGTTTAGAATGCAAACAGACATTGAAGCACATTTCTATTATACTTGAAATTACCGCAAACCATATTGAATGGAGTGATTTCTTCAACACTCGTATTTTCCAACTACACATATGTGAATTAAACCTGCCTCTTTGTTTTTTTGTCTTTAATGTATTCGCAATGCATGGATTGATCTGGAAGTGTTTGTTCGTTTATATATTGAGCCATTGGAAAATCATTTTCATGGACAAACATTCGTTTGTTGGTTCCTTCATTCACTTTCTTGTCACTTAATAAGTACAATAACAGTTGCTGATGACATTTGCGAAAATCCGTCTTGTTCATGTACATTCATTTGATTTTGTCCTTCGTTTTTATTTGTGGTACGTGTGATGGCATAATTTACATGAATTGCGTTTGAAAACAAATCTGATTTTCGTTGAAACCCAGTTGGGAAAACCAAATTGTCATGAGTGTATAACTTCAATTCACATGTATTACCAAAAATCGTTTATACTCAGTCAACATGTGTCACAATTGTTTCGCATATTCAGTCCCATGCGAAAACATCAAGTCATGTTTGTACGGTTTACTAGGTTGTAGAAGTATCTTGTCGTCTATAGAAATGGAGAATGAAAAAAAAACTTCACGTCAGTGTTTGGGGTAGTGTTTAGTCACTCACCTTCACGATTTCAAAGACAGTGAGTCAAGTTGATTTATTTCAAAGAGGAAAGGGGAAATAAATCGAAGTCTTAGTATATTGTGGAAATAGTAGAACCTGCTCTCGAGTCGTCTTGTGGAGATATTACACTAGTCAACCTCAATGACAGATGAGTCCTCATTACGCGAACGGTTCCACACAAACGGAAAAGATAACTGTGTGAACCAAGGAAGTGGATGTTTTCTTATTATGGTAGGTCACTTCATGGAACTGCGCAAAACTATCGAAAGTCTTGATAAGACGCAGAGATTGAATTTCACAGCATGTGTGAGATTGTATATTGTGTGCCTGAACAAAGGACATTTCAGTCGGGAATGTTGGCAAAAAGTGCGAAGATACTGATCGAACTGAGTAGAAACGCTCACTGTTAGCTGAAGCACGTAATATGCAAGGTAGAATCGAATACGTAGATCGAGTGCTCAACGTGAAAGGAGATGATGACAACGATAGTGGTGTTAAATTACACCTCACCTTATTTACTGCTGGTGTTCTTATGTTTTTGGTCACATTATCTTCACGTTGGTGATGCAGATCAGAAGGATATTCTTCAGTGAGGTTGTTATGAGTTCGACGTATCATCGTTCCATGAATAAAAATCTCTGATGGATTTTGTGGTTAATGAAAGTTTAATGAGTCCTAAAGTTATTTTCACTGTGAGACTACAGGAAACGAATTTGAACATGTTGTTTGATGATCGTAGTTATTACGATTCCGTTCTGCCTACTGAATTAACTTGTTGATTAGAGGGATTCCTGTGTCATTGTTTGTTCACTGGTTCAAATTTGGCAGCTACGGATAGTTAGGTACATTCTATCTCATTCTCTATTAAGACGCTGACATTCCATCCACCACAAGCACCGTCAACTTAAAGTATACACACTGAATTTTATTATTGATTTGACTTAAATTAATCACAATGCCATTCGAAAATCAATGGTTTGGTAAACTGAGTACAGGTTCTGATTGAGAACGATGGTTAAATATACACACATGTGGTATTATTAAAACGTCACGTGTATTTTGGACAGAAAATATTTTCATGATGAAAATAATAATCTACTTTCAAATAACTGTCTGTTAAATGAGGCACGCCAATTAACAGGCAACATCAAACTGTTACAGAAGACACAGTCTTCGATGTAGTGGGTCACTGACTTTGATTGATATTCTTCAAGATACTTTGATTATATAAGTATGGTGGTTAATAATTCTCACATATGAATGCAAACAATATTAGGAAGATTCGTACTGTTAACAGTATCCTGATACACAAATAACTATTTCTTTTTTTTGTAAAAGCTATTTCACGTAATTGCTACTTTTATTGATTTTATAGGGTCATGAGCACTCCTCATTTTTAGTTAATTGTCTTGCTTTGCTTGTGATAGAAACACTCAGTAAGAAGTGAAATCAATTCAGCGTTACAAATACCATTTAACGAGGTATTCGGCATCATAAATTAGCACCGATACCATTTGTTCGTGACATCCCAGTTGACTATATGGAGTCGTATTTTAACAAACTGTTCTGAACTTCAGGCATGTGTAGATCGAAGATTTCTCCACACCATCATATATGCTGGTCAGTAATGCCACCCTCCCTCCTTTCGTGATGTTAGGCTCTCTTACGTTTGCGGCATGTATGAATATCGCTTTAACCTATCTCCTTTTTGAAACACACTGTCTCCATTAATTTCATGTCACAAAGAAATCACATAGTCAAAGCTTCTGTATTGTGGGTTAGATATCCATATAGTATTTCACACTGCTATGAAGGTAACGAATAATATAAGCCATAAGAAACTGGTCAGATTATATGTGGTTTAGAGATCGTAAGGATAGATAGCAAGCCTAAATGTATGCAAGTGCTAATAATCATAAGATTTTCAGGATAAGAAAACAAAACATTGAACGACTGACAAGAATTCAGGACAATTATGAGATTCCTATTATCGGCCCTAGTTAATCAGCAATTATGAGACGAGTGAGTCATCTGTCTACTTGTAGTAGAACAAAAAGTACACGACACGTAAGGAAAACACTCCAACTTAAACCACTAGGGATGTTCGGAATCTGAAAGTGCGATGCATAAGGGCATGACTAACAATCAATGAACAGTGGGAGAGGGTTAACCATGTGTTATATCATTTGGCTATACTCATATCATTGACAATGAGAGTCTGTCGTTTTCATGATCTGTCTACATATTGGGCGGTCCATAATAATGCACCTCATTGATGGGCGGACGTCCAGTGAATAGTGCATGCGCCAATTTGAAGTCAACTTACAGGTTTATTGGTCTTTTGAACTTCATGATAGTCTCACAGATACGAATAGGTGTTGGCAACCCATTCTATAATAAAACACATTGCACTGTAAACAGTGTATATGCGCTGTTTCTGAGTCTGTAGACCGGGTCATGGATCATGGGTTGGCAGGAGGCTAGGAATGTGAGTCCATATAATACTTTGTACATAAACATTGGAATGTTACTTAGCCGACGACACCATGAAGGTTCTAATGAGAGGTGCTTACATCTATCTGTGTAGTTGAGAGTGGAGTCACATCATAACAGTCAGCGTATGAAGCGTCTTTGAATATCTTCTACTCTTATTTTCTTTGTGGTATTCATTTTCGATGGAATGTAGGAGCGATATTCAAGGGAGGTTGCATATATATTTTGTAGAGAGTAAGCAGAGCCTCTGTTTGGAAAAAATCTTCCAACTATTGCTGCCTCAAATACTTTTTTCATCGCTCTGGATACCACCGAGGTTATTTTTATGGGCCGACAATGTTTAAATTTTCTTCAGGTCCTGTCTTAATTTTGGGACGAACATATGACACTTTCCAAGCAGTATTGAATAGTTAGAGAGTTTCATTTGAAATCCGTATTACAAGTGTAAAATTCCTTTGCTTCCCATTCCAAACTAAAATACAGTGAAGAATGAATGTTCATAGTATTCTAATTAATTCATGTCTCAACTTCACCGAAGTCTTTGATCTCACCGAAGAAAAATACACAACGAAGTCCACAATATCTCTATTTTTCGTTTTTGTTTTCGGTTTTCACAAAGTTTCAAGTGGTTGATCATTCATAAATCAAGTAAAATTTCAATGTCAACTTCTATTCCATCTGAAGTTTGGATTGATGTTTTGTGTTGTTTTCGGACTTTGTGTTTTGTATCTGTGAACACAGTTAGCGAATTTTATTACCATTTATAAAAGTTGTAAATATGCGAACATAATAGATGCTTATAGTTATAAGAGGTTTCAATTTTATGTATCATGGTTTCTTGATGTTTAGACATGTGGCTGAGGGTTATCGTAATCTGATGATCCAATCCAGTGAACTGATACATCATTTTCGAGATGGCGATCGTGATTTTAATGGATCACTAATCAAACCACTGTGTAAATAGTTAGTCAATAGTCGTAACTAGTTTTCATACAATCTAATGGCTGTTCATTAGATGTTTGTATCAATCCATTTTGTGTGAAATTGTTTATGCTGGCGTTCCTTGAAAAAGATGATTTATTACTGGACTAGTCAGTACGGAACACTAATAATTACTCACGTATGCGCTTTAACATTCATTAAAAACACCGATCCATGAACTGAACAAAATGAATAGTTGGTAGTTGAATACATCTTACTGAAGAATCAAATACAGTGAAAGTGCATCTACAACCCAACTAACTAATTATACTTTGAATAAATTATTAAATATTCAGAAGCACTGAAAGTCACTAGGGGGAATATCCCCTTCAATTTTAATATATGCAGTTTAAAACAGTTCAGCATAGAACGTTCCGATTGACATGTTCATCAAAGTGAATTCTTGACGCAGAATTAGAATTTGCTGGAAGAACTCTTTAAATGACATGATTACAGTCAGTCGAACGTACTTTGCTGAACTGTTTAGAACATCTACCACATCATGTTTTGGATATTCTAATGGTATATTTCAATGTTTAGAAAACTTGATGTATGTGTATCATGAAATGAAGATTAACAGCGAAATCGAACTGTAGATTGTGAAAGTGCATGCACAGTAATAGACGTACTTAATTTGCTTGAATGTTATAAATTGTATCATCATTTGACATCCAGTTTCATATCATGTAAATGAGAGAAACAACACGTATAATTATCCTTCCATTAGTAGCTACTCTATTCGAATGTAATCAATTCTGGTAATTTCAGAGAGGAAATCGGAACAATATGATGATTAACGGCAAACAAAACGATTTAACGGTCTGTTAGGTTATGTGAGTGACTTAGTGCTCTTGAATAATGCAAAGGAATAAAAGAGTATGTGACGTCAACAATACGGCACATGTGTGGTAGACTGAACGTAAATTATAGCCACATACAGAATTTAGACGTTAATTCCTGGCTCAGCTGAGAGTTAGATGTAGTCCTCTGCTGCATTGTGCCCAGACAATCGCTTACTTTTATCAAACACTGATTTCAGGCATAAAAAGAGACACCGACTAATATGACGAACCCCTGCACCAAACCAACGATTGACTCAAATAGACCATATTGCCATCAGTGATCGTTGGAGAGGCCCGATAGAAGACTGTTACTCGTTCTGGAATACCTGTTTGAACTCCGGTCATGCTCTAATACGACCACGCATTTGCTTGTGCCTCACTGGATGCAGAAAAATCACACTAAGAAAACCCATTAGAATTGAACTCAGTGACAAGAAAGCTAAAAGTAGATTCCAGGAAAAACTGACGTCACACTTAGGTAGTTCTGCAAACGAGGCTGACCAAGATGTTACATGGAAAGATATACGAACAGCTGTGATGTCTAACAGTGATTTAAACCAAAAGGTTACGAAAAACCAATTGATTTCTACTAAGTTTATTGCACTGATAGGTTCTCGTAAACGCCTCCCATCAGGCTAAGAACAAGATGAAGAACGAATGAAAACGGGATCTAGGTTATTCAGAAGCCTAAGAAACGACCGTGATCAGTGGTGGGCAACGAAATAAATGAGATGGAAAAGGCAGTGGCTGTAGGAAACACCAGACAACTTTTCAGATTAATAAAAGAAACTGGAATTAAGAAGTCAAATGTTGGTGAGACAATCTCAGAAAAGGATGACACTGTTACTTTCTCTCAGCTCAAGCGTTGAGAACGATGGGCGGAACACTTTAAGGGGCAGTCCAGCTGGCCATAAGCTACTCTACAACTACCCACCATTCCCAGAAAGCCTGAACGGAACATTGAAGTAGGTCTGCCGACTCTGACTGAAGTTCAGAAGTTATAGCTAATATGAAGTGAGGGAAAGCAGGTGGTCCAGATGGACTAACTCCAAAGGTCTTCAAGGATGGTCGTCCAGTCTTCGCGATTAGGTTGACTAATATTTTATCTAAAATCTGAGAGTTGGACGTAATCCAATCTGGTCAAAATCACTGATTATCCCAATATATAAGTAGAGGTCAATTTTTGTTCAGCTTCATCATAGACCTACTGCTGGATATAACATTCTCGTCTACTAAGTTTTTGGGTATTGATCCTCTACCAGAGACCTCACTTATTGATTTAGAATAGGCAGATGATATAATCCTCTTTGGTGAAGACGCTGATTGAACGCAGTCTTTCGTTAACACTGAAAAACAATGCTAGGATGTTTGATATTCATTTCTTCCAGTCTAAATGCAAACTGTTGCTTCAAGACTGGCCTGCGTCAACACCTGGACTAAGGATAGGGAGTGAAGTAGTCGAACGCCCTGACAACTTCCCTTAATTTGAGATTCTGATCAGCTCTAATGGGTTGGTGTCGGACGAAATCTTTGCATGGATTTAGACTGCTCGTTGAGCTTTTGCCAACTTACGTCACCTATGACAAAGGCGAGATATTTTTCTATCAATTAAAAGACGAGTATACTGCGAG